AGGAAAAACATAACTAATTGAATGGCAGTTTTACCAGATTCTCAGTTTGGAGTTTCATCAACTCATTCGATTAAAAAAATTGACCTTTATTTCTCATCTAAAATTGAACCGTTAGTAAATCGATCCAAAAGGTAACATGAATCTGTAATTTAAACTTGCAAAAAATTCAGAAAATTTCATCCAGAAATAGAAAAAAACTGAGACTGAGAAATTTAAAAAAAGAAAATGAAAAATCAATTGAACATTCAACCGGTAATCCAACGAAATTTTAATGGCCAAGAGTTGTGATCGTTCAATCTGAAAGTTTATCAATTTTCGACTTTTCGAAATCAAGTTTCGTCTGATAAGTTTGTAAGTCAAAGTACATGTGCTTCATTGAATCACGTAAATGCCTAATGCAAAGACCTTCTGGTGTACAAATGTTTGACCGAGACGACAAGCTTCTTAGGTTAAGTGATGAAGTCAGACTAGTGACTACTGATGTATTCATAGCTGCAACAATTGATTTATTTATAGTCAGTTGATCCTACTGTTTCATATCAAGACCAATACCGAGACTATCGAGATGAGACTCATGTTGCTGTTAAATGTTTCAGCTTGGAATTACAATTTATTTCTTTGGGTTTTTGACTTTGATTGTTTTTCTGGTAAAATTTTGAAATTTTAAGCTAAAAACTAAATAATAAATAGCGGAGAGAAAATTGATTTTAATCTATTCTGATGAAGTCGTACGTTTTGATCGATTGCTTCTTGAATAATTGAGAAACAATGAAACTAGAATTGAATTGGCAACTTTGTTAGTAGTAAAGGGTATCTAACGCCACGAAAAGGTGGAGCCTATTTTAGGGGGGAGAAAAAGGGGAAAAAATGCGCAAACAACCGATTTTGGAAGTTAAGGTTAAGGGTAAACCTCAACTCAAACAAGTTTTATTATCATTATTATTATCATTTTTTTTTACATTTTTTTACATTTTTAATTATAATTATCATCATTAATATTATTGTCATCACCATCAGATTCAAAGTGATTTGAACCTTTTACATTTTATGATTTCAAAAGAGTCATTAACTCTTTTGAAAGTCATAGTAAAAGGGTATGGTGAATGGACATGAGGAGGATCAGCAGCAGCCAAAGCATCAAAATCAAGCCTCCTCGGACGGAATGGGATCATCGGAGGTGTTGGAGTGGCCCGTGATTGCTGC